ATGATCCTTGGGGTCCCTTCCAACCCGGGTGATTCTGTGATTCTGTGATTCTGTGCTTGCTCATTTTGCATTGGTGTGGCTTCACTTTGCCTAGCATACGTGAGCTCCACAGTATTAGAAGGATATAAAAATAAGAGAATGTGCCCAAAGGAGGACAACCAACAAAGTTGGTTAAAGGACCACAGAGGGAAATATTGGAGTGCATCGAGAGGAGGGCCACAAAGATGATCAAAGGGCTGGAGCACAGCCCTGTGAGGAAAGGTTGAGGGAGCTGGGCTTGTTTATCTTGGAGAAGAGAAGGCTCCAGAGAGACCTCATTGCAGCCTTCCAATATTTGAAGGGAGCTCAGAAGCAGAAGGGGGATCAACTTTTTACACCATCTGATAGTGACAAGATAAGGGGAAATGGCTTTAAGCTAAAAGATGGGAAATCCAGTTCAGATGTTAGGAAGAAATCTTTTACTCAGAGGGTGGTGAGGTACTGGAACAGGATGCTCAGAGAAGTTGTGGATGCCCCATCTTGGGAGGCATTCAAGGCCAGGTTGGATGTGGCCTTGTACAGCTTGATGTAGTGATTGGCAACTGTCCCCAAGGCAGGGGGTTGGAATTAGATGATCTTTAAGGTCCCCTCCAACCTGAGCCATTCTGTGACTCTGTGATATGTATGAGGAGCAGCCACGGTTTGTTCAGCTGAGAGAAGACAGAGGGGAGGCTTCGTGGCAGCCTGCAGCTCATTCGTGGCAGCCCACAGCCAACTTATGATCTCTGCTGTTTGGTGACAGCAACAGGGCCCAAAGAAACAGCGCAGAGCTGTGTCAGTAGGGTCAGGCTGGGGGTGAGGGAAAGATTCTGCACCAGAATGTGGGCTTGGAACAGGCTCCCCAGGGTGGTGGTCGTGGTTCCAAACCCGTCAGTAGTGCTGAAGAAGCATTTGGACAATGCTCTTAGAGTTGTGGTTTAACACTCACCTTGCCCTTTGTGGAGTCGGGAGCTGGACTCAGTGCTTGCCATGGGTTCCTTCCAACTCAGTTATCCTGTTTTACAATGGTCAAACAAAAGTAAATGCTGACAGATGGTCAGATATGTATGAGCATGCAGCGTACATGGAGGTGATGAAGTGTGCGTGCACACACATGTGCTCATGCCCTGTACTCCATCAGTCTGCTTTACACACACACACACACACAAACCTCTTTGCAGCCACTGCTGAGCCTTTTGCACTGATCTGCTGATGTTTCCAGTCCTCCCAGCATGTGAGGAGGGCGTTCTCTAGACATGTAGTCTCTGAAGCAAGCACTTCTGGGCACATCATCCAGGTTGCCCTCTTCTGCAGCAGTTGGTGCTGGGAAGGACGAGGTGTAGGAGCCTGTTGTAACCATGGCTGCTCCCCTTTCAGACATACATTTCTCCTTGCCAGGGTATGTTCCTGTATCTGTTTCTTTCTCTCCCTGTATTTGTCCACTGTAATGTTCATTACCATCATCTCCTCTTCCTTCTCCTTTTCCTCTTCCTCTCTTCCTCCTCCTCCTCCTCCTCCTCCTCCTCAGATCCTCAACTCTTGAAGACAGTATTAAACAGTACGAGCAGGATCTGGCCAGGAAGCTGTACCAGTCCCGGCAATGGGCTCCTGCTCCCGGGGCCAGGCCAGCTCAGATGCCTAGTCCAGTGCAGAGTCACGCCTCGAGAACCCCTGGGTCAGGAAACCAATCCAGGTGTGCACAGCCCCATCCCTGCCAGCTGCATGCTCCGTCCTGTCTGTGTCCCCCATCCTAACACCGTGCTCCCAGCTGCGTCCTTGTAGGGCTAGGGAGGATTCAGTGGTGCTGGAGTTCATTTCCCTAAGGTACCACAGACTACTGGCAGTCAGTGGGGATGATGGGTGGACGCTGGGTCTGTCTGGTTGGGTGGGAGCCGGCGTTTGTGAGGGCTGAACCCCCTTTTTCAGAGGTGATTTAATGTCCCAGTGGCAGCAGAGGGATAAAGCGTGGCACACTTGAGAACACAGGAGAGTAAAGCCCTGAAAGCTCACCTAGACATTGAGCCCTGGCAGTTCCCCTTCACGTTCCTCAATTTGGATTGCTCTCTGTCACACACGGCGCCTCTGGGAAGGCCTCCAGCATCTCAGTGGGTTGATGCTGAGCTCCAGGCTCTGTTCAGCACACGTGACAACGTGTGCATTTCAGGACAGTAACGTCTGATGGCAGCAAACTGAGCTGTTCTCTCCTGCTCTGAAAGTCTGTCTGCTGCGGGGAACCGAGGGTTCGTCTGGCCTTTCTGAGCTCAGCTTGTTGACTGTGGTTCAGCTGCTGGGCACAGAAGACGGCGTTCATCTCTTATAGAGAAAGCAATGTCTGATGTCTTTTTCTCCTTCCGTTCCTCCTCCTTTCTGAGACAGGATGAAATCCCTTGAACAGGATGCTCTTAAAGCCCAAATGGTCATTGCCAAGTCCAAGGAGGGAAAGAAGCGCAGCACTCTGGAGCAGGTGACAGAGTCACCTTCACCCGTTCCTACCCCGTCACCAACACCACTGGAAGGTACTGTACAGCAGCTTCTGAGGAAGAGTTAATGCTTCTGCAGGTTAATTGGCTTGAAAGAAGATGGGCAGGATGCAGTTTATTCATTCAGCTGAGGCTGGAAGGACCTGGAAGGATCTCTGAGCACAGGAGATGTTTCTAACAAACAGAAAACTTGAGATACCAAAACATGGTTGTGGGAAACAAGAGCAGAGTTGAAGAGAAAAGAGAAAAAAAGAAAGGAAAAAAAAAAGAGGCATTTGTTTTGAGAGTGTCTGTTGTGAGTCTGGTCCTTTATCACACTTAAACAACTGCTGAATGGAAGGGGCAGGCATGTGTGTGTGTTGCATGTAATACAGACGTTCAGTGAACAGTGTTTTTGTGTCATCTTTTGCAGATTGCAGTCCCAGGAACGTCACTTCACCAGGAAGGCTGGTATGAGACGTTCTGCTTGCTTTTGTTCTCTCTGTAAGCTTGGGATTTCTCCGTTACTCACCTTGGGTGTGGATCGTGCATCTGGGCTACGAGGTCCCTATGTAAATACTCAGCCTGAGGCAGAGCTGTGGCACTGTGGCTGGAGCTCTGCCCTTTGCTAGAGACATCCCCTTTGTACAAACAGGCAGCAATGTCTGTTTCCCCCTTCTCTGTTTTATTCTCTTCTCAGTAACACGAAACCAAACACTTGAGCTGAAATCAGCATCTCACTTTTTCTAAGTGCTCTATAAATGCAGCAGGACGTCGTTGCAGAGAACTGTCAAAATTGGTACAACAGAATGTGGGACCTGGTTCTGCCCAAAGTCACACACCAGCTCTGAATTAAGTGTCAGCTGTGCTGGAGCTGTCAGGAATCTTGCTGCTGATTTTTTTCCATACAGAGAGGGTTCTTACCTAAGCTAGTGCAGATGTGCAGCTCACTGGAGCACGTCGTGTTTTCTATGCAGCTTGGAGCACCTACCCTGAGAGCAGGGCAGACAAAAGGCAGAGCCCCAGTGTCCCTGAGATGCCTTCTTTCCCAGAGGCTGGATCCAGACACCGTTGACACTAACTGTGAATGATGCTTTGCTGCTAACTCTCCATAGATCACTCAGGGTGCTGTTGTGTGTCCATCCACTCCTCTCTCCTCACTCTCTCTTTTCTCTCTCTTCTCATTTACTGTCCCTTCTAGTCCATGTCTGAAAAGAAGTTTGACTACCGGGAATTTGCTGCTATTCCTTCCTCCAAACCTGTTTACGAAATCCAGGTATTCACTGCATGCTGAATTTCTGCCTGCTGTCGGATGGGTCAGGGCTTGATTTAGTGGAAGTGCTGCATATGATGTGACGACCCTCAGAGGCTGAATGGTGTGAGGAAGAGCTCTTCAGGGTGCCCCCCGTGTATGGGGCAATGACAGCTGGCCATGCTGCACTGAGGAGCCACTGGAGGCGTCAGTCAGGTGTTAAGAAGTTGGTCCAGATGGTTTTAAAAGCGATGGCAAAGCCTTTGCAAATACAAAGCAATCACATTTTCACCTTAACTGATCCTGAAATGTTTTCAAGCGAAAGATGAGAACTGAAAGGGAAGGAGAAAAGGTTGCCAACTAATTGCAAATGGGAGCTGGTGTTAACTTCAGGGTGGAATTATCCAGCAGCCTGCCCCAGAAGCAGCTGTGCTGACAGCTTTCTAAGTTTTAGCTCTGCTGCAGATAATCATGAAGTAATAAGTTCATATGGCATTATTAAAATGAATAGTGAGCTCTTCTGAAACGTTTGCTAAGCTTAGGGTAAGTATTAAGTACAAATTTGGATTAGTAGATGAACAAATGCAGAGCGCTTTGACTTCTCTGTCCTTGAAGCACTGTGTGCAGATAGGCTAAATTTTCTGTAAGAGCAAAATAAATAGGGCTTGGGATATTGATACCAGTCCCCAAGTTTATCATCCTGTGTGGATGAGGAAGGAACTCCTGGATGAACAGAATCCTGTCCACCTGGGAAGACTATAGGAATGTTGTCAGGGCCTCTGTGGATGCAGTGAGAAAGGCAGAGACCTTCTGGGAATTAAACCTTGCAAAGGAGGTAAAGGACAACAAAATAAGAGGTTTTTTAAAGTATGTCAACAGTAAAAGGAAGACCAGGGAAGATGTGGGTCCCCTACTGAATGAAGTGGGTGCCTTGGTAACAGGGGATGCTGAGAAGGCAGAGATTCTGAATGCCTGCTTTGCTTCGGTGCGTAATGCTAAGTCTAGCGCTTGGGAATCCCAAACCCTGCAGGTAAGAGAGAGTGTCTGGGGAAAGGAAGGCTTTCCGTTGGTTGAGGTGGGTCTGGTTAGGGAGCACGTAGCCAAAATCAACGCTCACATCCACGGGCCCCAACGGGATGCACCCACGTGTGCTGAGAGCGATGCAGCGATGATTGCTGAACTGCTCTCTGGTTGGATACCTGTGTTCCCCAAGGTTCAGTGCTGGGTCTGGTCTTGTTCAACATCGTCATTGATGACCTGGATGAAGGGATAGAGTCCACCCTCAGCGTGTTTGGTGATGATACAAAGCTGGGAGGAGTGGCTGACATGCCTGAAGGCTGTGCTACCATTCAACCAGACTTTGACAGACTGGAGAGTTGAGCAGGGATGAACCTGATGAGGTTTAACAGGATCAAATGTTGAGTCTTGCACCTGGGAAGGAATAACCGCAGGTATCAGTAGAGGTTGGGACGTGAGCTGCTGGAGGGGAGCTCTGCAAAGAAGGACCTGGGGGTCCTGGTGGACGACAGGTCGGCCATGAGCCAGCAGTGTGCCCTGCTGGCCAAGAAGGTCAATGGGATCCTGGGGTGCATTAAAAAGAGCGTGGCCAGCTGGTTGAGGGAGATGTTCCTCCCCCTTTACTCTGCCCTGGTGAGGCCACATTTAGAACCCTGTATCCAGCCCTGGACTCTGCAGTTCCAAAAAGACAAGGATCTCCTAGATGGAGCCCAGCAGAGGGGCACAGAGATGATAAAGGGCCTGGAGCATCTCTTGTATGAGGAAAGGCCGAGTAACCTGGGGCTGTTCAGCCTGGGGAAAAGAAGACTGAGAGGGGAGCTGATAAATGCTTATAAATTTCTAAAGGGAGGTGGGAGGCAGGTGGATGAGGCCAGGCCCTTCTCAGTGGTGTGTAGCAGTAGGACAAGGAGTGACAGCCTAATAGCTGGACACAGGCAGTTCTGTGCTAACACACGGAAGAACTTTTTTGCAGTAAGGGTGATGGAGCGCTGGAACAGGTTGCCCAGAGAAGTTGGGTCTCCACCAGAGAGATACTCAATGCCAACTGGATGCCCACCTGTGCGACCTGTTGTACGGAACTGCTTGGGCAGGGGGATTGGATTCAATGGTCTCTTGAGATCCTTTCCTACCCCTTTGATTCTGTGATTGAGTGCTGACTTTCAGGCCATCTCAAGTTTTGGCCCGTGACCAAAGTCATGGTTCTCACATGGTGGCGTTGCTCTGATCTGCTGAACTACAGGCGCCTGTGGTTGGTCGCTAGAGTCGTTCCTCCTTCCATGAAGGCTGCAAGGTTAACCTTGCAAGAGGGGGTCAAGGACAACAGAAAGGGCTTCATCAAACACACTGCAGATAAAACTAACACTAGAGGCAGCGTAGGCCCACTGATGCTTGAGGCGGGTGCCCTGGTGGCAGAAGTTGTGGGGTGTTCAGGAGCCGTGGAGATGTGGCTCCTGTGGACGTGGTTATTGGGCATGGTGGGGATGGGTTGGGTTGGGCTTGGTGATCTATTAGGC